TTAAAAGGCGCTCCCAGACGGTTGTGTGTGTATAGGGGGGGGGAGAGTGTAGAGAGTGCGTGCTGCGGTTGCCCCCATGACGTCCTGATGCTTTCTACGTACGTACCAACCTCGTCTTTTGGATGTGTTCGAGACTCATCAGTACATCTATCATGCACATGGTGTGTGCTATGTATGTGTGATTCTGCACACAGGCGTAATATAAGCGTGGTAGAGGGCCGCTAGCGAATACTCAACGAATTATTTCCTAGAAGAATTCCTTTAATAACGTGCTAGTCCCCGAGTTTTTTTCCAAATGTCTGCATATTTGTATATCTGTATGTGCCTGAAGTGTAACATATAATAATCCCATTGGCAACCCCGTCAACTGGGGGCGCCGCACGTGTTTTATAACAGAGTTCGAAATTCAGCCAATGGGGTCATGAGCCAATGATCTCTGTCGCTGGCGGACGTTTGCGTATTATTCATTCGCTGGGGCGGTGCGAGGCGTGGCAATAGGTAGGGCCCTCGGAGCGGTGAAGTTCGAGGCAGTGCTTGCGTGTGATAAGCTGCAAGATGCGAGCGGACCGAACACGTGCGTTCACAGCAGGATTTGACGGTCGCCTGCTGTCATTGTGAAGACGGCGAACAGATCCATAGGTAACACAGCGATGCATGGACATGTTTTCATGGTCCCCGCTGCCTGTGGAGTTACGGAGCAGAAGGTGCCATTGATGGGTAACAAATAGATGTAGGCAAGCAAGCGCACAAGAAGACAAGAAGGAATGTGGGCGGGCGTCTGGTCAATTGTAAAACACGCGTGACAATCAACCAACTAACCAAACAAACGAACGGATGGAGCCCTAACAGCATGTTAGTTGTGGCAGGGGGTTACCTCCCGGGGTCCAGGGGGGGTCCTTTTCACCTCCCCCCTCGCAGATAACGTACAGTTCCCCCTGTAATAGCCTTCGCCCCCATGGTTCGGCTGATATGTAGACCACTCGTGATGCTCTTCATGGTTACAGGTTCGCCGCGATAATGGAGCCGGAAGCTGTTTCCTGATGCAGCAACATCAATTTTTACGAACTGTAGCTACCTACCCCTAGCACACACGCACGCATCAGCAGGCAGGCAGCAGCTGCTGCAGCAGCTACCAGGCCTGCCGCCACCACCACTGACTGCAGCTGCCACGCAACACGCACACACACTGCCACCACGCACCATTTGCCTTAATTGCTAGGCAAGCACCTCTGAAAACCCCATGAAACACTCATGCCATTTTTTATTTCCTTACGTTTTAAAGTACGCGTACACGATTAATTGACACTGCAGTAGTACCACCAATTCATAAAACTGTGCTGCTATGCAACTCCTAGGATCTCATCAGACGCGGGAGGCGCATGCATCACAAAGGTGGAGCTAATGGTTTATGCACCGATGGCCAATTAAGGGCTTCGTTCATCACGCAAATTGGCCGGGGACGTCTGTGAACCTTTTGATCGGCTATAGATCGCACCCTGATGCAATACAATGGACGGTCCGTAATAATAATTATAATATATGCTGTGAATCGGATGTTATTCCGGTCAGACCTCTCTACTGTTGTCTTGAGGACTGTTTGTCGTACTTACGGAACTGTACTTTGGTTCCATTAAGTGGCGGCGGGAAGCCACATTCGTTAGTTGCTCGTAACAGAAAGTGCAGACCACGCTCCGAGCTTAAGTAGCCGTATAGCGTAAGGCACAGAGTAGCTCATGAGTTTACAACAGGTTATGAGCCCCGGCTGACGATCGGGATGGAGACAAAGCTGGAATACCGCGAGGTGTTAAGCCTAAAGAACCGTAAAACATGGATGATCAGATTCAAAGCCGCCATAATTAAGGCGAAGTTATACTGGATTCACATGCTACGTTACGTTGCGAAAACGTTTTTGGAAAAGTGGGCCTGAAAAAGTCACCCAGTTCACATGGGACACTACGACGACGTTGTGTTCGTTGGCGCGAGCTGTGTAAACCATATCCATTTTATGTCTTTCAATGGCCAAAACTTCAGCACATCCCCTTAGAATCGCAATATATAATTGACGGGTTATTGGCAGCCCTGCCTACAGCAATGGCACTGCATCCCGCGCGAGCCGCGATGGCGTTTGCCCTAGCGGCCGCTATGGATGTAATTTTTGACAACCTTGAGGATATGTTCAATTCTCAATGGCAGTGCTTGCGCGTTTGGGCCGACGCGGCGCGGCCCATGCCGCCGGAAGTGCGGCCGACTTGCCATTTCGCGGATGGCTTCAGCCCTGATACTACAATGGGTTACATATTGGCTATGTAAGGGGTCGTGCGCGGGCGAGCAACACGAGCGGCGTTGTCCTTGTTCATTTTCCAAAATAAACTGCAGCGGTGTGACTAGAAATTCGGTCGGAGTGCAAAGCGCGCACAATTTGTCAAATATGTGGTCTTTATAAGCGATTGGGCTTGGCTGTTTGTTATAACTCGCGAAATTGGCGACGCAATTCAGGTAACGGTACGAGGGGTCGAAATTCAACCCCCCCCCCCCCGGTCACTTTAGACTTTTCGTCCACTTTACCGGTAACGTACCGTTACCATGTCCGAACCGACCACTTTTCCCAAAAAGTCTTAACGTAACGTAGCATGTGAACTGGCTATTAGGCTCAGCGTTGGAAAAGCCGCAGACCGCCGACAACGGAACGATCCATGAACAAGCGAGGGCCATTCTTGTGGAACTTCCCCACAATGATGACCTGGACCTGTACCAGAAGCACAGCGACCTTAAGGAGCTGTATGAGGCGCTGGACAGCCGCTATAAGGGGTTGGTAGTGATTCGGGTTCCGCAGCTGCATATTCAACTGCGTCGTATGAAGATGGACCCGCGAGAAGGAACAAGGGCTTACTGTCAACGGATCAAGGACATCGTTGACGAGCTGGAGCAGTGTGATGAGAACCTCACGGGCTACAATGTAGTCAGTACTGCAATACAAGGCCTGCCGTCCGTCTACTTATACGGCATCCTGGTTTAGTTCACCCGACTCGATGCCAAAGAGTCTTGTGGACGTTCGAGATCGGCTAATGTCTGTAGAGCAGCAAATCACGCAATCCAGCTGACCTACACCAGGAGTGCCAGCACTTGCTGCCGACTATGGAGGCAGAAGTCGGCAACCAAGACGAATGGGCAGCAATGTTGCTGTTGACAGCGGCGAGTTCCGAGGTAGATGCTACAAATGCGGCAACGTCGGGCACAAGGCAAGCGAGTGCACTGCTAAAGAACAGCAGAAGGAGAAGAAGTTCTGCATCTGCTTAATAAAATATATAGGAGTTGCTCCGTGCCTTACACTATACGGCTGCCTTATGCTATACGGCTGCCTCGGCTCGGAGCGTGATCTGCACGTTATGTTACAAGCAACTGAAGAATGTGTCTTCCCGCCGTCACTTAAAGGAACCAAAGTACAGTTACGTAAGTACGACAAATAATTCTCAAGACAATAGTAGAGGTCTGACCAGAATAACGTCCGATTCACAACACTCCCCCGCGGGCAGACCTCTATCTGTAAAACGAAAAACAAGCACCACTCTAGCGCAGTCCCATCGCAAAGGCAAAGGCAACGCCTTCATTAGGCAATTCGCCACCATATACACAGACTTGACGTAATTGAATATAACTTCGCCTCGCGCAACATGCTCACACACGAAGTGGTGCAGCGCATCTATGTGCTTTGACCGAGCGGAGACGATGGGGTTACCAATCATCTTGATGGCTGCTTGGTTATCACACAGGATGCTAACCTTGGTGAGACCAACTTCAAATCGCTGCTTAAGACACGAAACCACAAGGCCTCCTTCGTAGCAGCACTGCACGACATATACTCAGCTTCGGTGGTTGACGTAGCCACCGTTGGCTGAAGACGCTAGACCAGCTCAACACACCTCCCACGTTTAGAAACACGTAACCGGTGGTAGAATGTCTCGTGTGGACACAACTAGCTTAATCTGAATCACAGTAGCCATGTTGTACCTGCAACATATCACAACATGCTCTTCATAGCTTCCCAATGCTGTACTGTTGGCTTGGACATATAACGGGACAGAGCTCCTACAAAATAAGCTAAATCAGGTCTCGTGCCCACCATAAGGTACAACAAGCTGCCTACCAGCTCTCCATAACGAAACTCCCCCACGTCAGGGGACAGTGCCCTTGGACATGGGCACCAGCCGCGGATTTGCGTCAGCCATGCCGTACTGCTTTATAAAGTCCACAGCAAAACGACGCTGTGACAATTTTAGGCTACACTGCGCATGATCACACTCTATCTCGAAGCCCAAAAATACCCGAGCCTCCCCTAAATCTCGGATATCAACAACATATTCAATTTTGACTTTAATCTTTGAACAACCGCTAGATCCTTGGCCGCAATTAATAGATTGTCCACATGAACTAGCACATACACGCGCTCTCCCTGGACATCCTTAAAAAACAAACCAGGATCAGCTTGAGAAATTAAAAAGCCCATATCAACCAGCTCCTTTTTCAAGCATGCATACCATGCACCCGGAGCCTGCTTAAGCCCGTACAGAGCCTTACCTAGCTTACACGCCAAAGTGGGGCCTCCCTGTTCATAGCCAGGGGGTTGCTGCCAGCGTGCCGTTAAGAAACGCCATCTTAACGTCCAACTGATGTAGCTCTAGGTCACGCACTGCCACAACAGACAGCAGGGCACGCAGGGTGGTGTGCTTGCTTACTGGGGCAAACAACCCCTTAGTGACCAGTCGCACCTTGTAGCGAACAATATTACCCTTTTCATCTCGTTTCAAAGTATACACCCACTTGACTGGTAACGGACCCACTCCCTTAGGTGGCGTCTCCAACTCCCACACAGCGTGCAACTGCATAGAAGCCATTTCTTCATCCATCGCCTGCTTCCACATAGGCCAGGCAGGAGAATTCTTGGCTTCCTTGTAGGTCCGCGGCTCCTCCAGAACTGCCACCATGTTTAACTGATCTGGCGG